GCCGAAACGAACACAAACATGAGAACCAAAGATGCACCCGGGGCTCTGTGTGTTATTCATTGTCTAGGTTTACACAATGGCTGACGGTTCAAAGCAAAGTGCTACTGATTGTCCAGTAAATCCGATAGATATACACCAAGGTAGGTTCAAAGTTTCACGACTACCTAACTCTATGCAGAGTTCCCATCTTCCCATGTCAAATTCCAATATGTTTCTTATCTTTAAGCCAATTTCCCATTCATGTGGGGGGATTGTTGGAAAAATGGTTTTTACAAATTAATATTACTAATATTATTTGTAAAAAAATCATTTTGAAATGAATGAGAAATTGTTCCCCGAAAGATAAGCGTGAAATATTTTAACACGCACACACCGGCGCCGTCAGTCGGCCGGGTCGGATCGGGTTCGAGTCTCACCAGATACATCCGTATGGCTAAAGACTAGAGATTATTTTTTTGCTACATTTTATTTGTTTTTCGGATAAAATCAAATAAAAGACACAACCATTCGTTTTAAAAGAAAGGTCATGAACTTTCTTTTAATAGGTGCCTTTTGGGTTAGAGACTCCTGGCCAGAGCTCTATAAATACCCGCCTTGTCTTCATTTTTGAATATCCGAAAAACTACACACAATCCTCCATACACTATCTTCTTTCGTTACATCTTTGAGTTCGCTGGAATCCCGTTGGGAGCGAAGAACCGTTCTATCCTGGGAGACGATTGCTACGTGTGTCGGGCAAAAACGTCTTAAGAAAACAATGCTTAAGTTGGGCTCGGTTACAAGTAATCTTACGTTTTTCCTTAATTATTTATTCCTTATTTCTTTTGCATGCAGAATTTTGTACATACATATAACAACCTCATCCCTGAGGACCTCCATAACTGACCGGACACTGCTTGGAGTTGAACATGAGACATCTCCTTGCTCTTCCTACCATGTGAGCTGCGCCCCCGGTGTCACTCTTAGTACAACTGTAGTATGGAATGAGACTAAAATTTGAAGATGTCCTAAAATGTTAAGAAAAAATAGACAAATAAAGTGTAACAATACTTCACTCTGACACCGCATTCGTGTATCAGATACTGAATCTCGTTGATAGACGTCTTGTATGTATCGGGCCCATATTTGTAATTTAATAAAAGTATTAGACTTATTTTTAGTAACATAAAACTTCAGATGCCCGTCCGTATCCGTGGACAAATACGCGTATCTAACTCTATAGCCCTGATTCCGTACACGACGTAGCAAGAATAGAGTAGCCGGCCAAGCGGCCACATCTCATCACTCCTCAATCATCATTCATTCTTCAACTGCATCTCTTACTGAGTAAAATAGTAATCTACCTTCTCTCATACACTTAATAAGTTTAAACTCGTTTCACCTCTAAATCAATTGTGTTTGATATATATGTAAGTGAGAAGCATAAGGTGTGGAACTTTGATGGAGATGATTTTCGGAGTATGGAAGACATTGGATCACTTGAATTTTCCAATTTGTTGCTTGATTAGCCTGAATTGATCGAAATCAGTCTTGTTAAAAGACTTATATGTAAATGCAAATAGCAAATTAGATGTTATTTGAGTTTAAATTGAAATATCAATACTTTTGTTCAATTATTTAGTCCAATATTTGAAACTTTCTTATAGTTGTTGATTTTTGGTAATACTATTATTTTATTTATGAATATATCCCATGCTCGTATCCTAAAAATTGTCGCGTACCCGTATTCGGGTATTAGCATATCCGTGCAACATAGGTTGCGTGACTACAAAGTTAGTTTCACAATTCGGCAAGGAAAGTTACGAATTGTTAAGAATATAGTTAAATTAATTATGCTTATTCAAATTATGTTAGGTGGCGGAAACAAAATTTGAAGTTTGCTCATCAATAATTCTCTGGAAGATATATCATCTCATTAAATGATATAGTCAATATAAAAAAGCTTAACATGTAACTTAATTAAACATGAAGATAGGGTGCTTAATATGTAAAAAAATATAAAAACCTAAAGGTGTTTACTAAGCTTAGTATTTAAAAAAGTTTTTCAAAAATATTACTGAATAAAATTTATTTATAAAAATATGACTAAAGTTATATTTTTAAGCATCAGCACTATTTTGGGAAATATTATTAAGTCGATCCTATTTTCGTAAATATTTTTTATTTAGCATTATTTTGGGGGAAAAGCCTCACATGCTAGGGAATGAATTACTTGCTCTCCTCCAGTACAATAGGTTCTGCTGAGGAGCTAGCTCCTGCTGGCCATGTGTCATTTTCTTCGAAACCAAAATAGAACCGTTATTGCGATTGGAGGAATTTAGAATTGGGAAGCAGTGTTTCCATTCTGATTCAGTTCACAACCCCTATGTTTTATCCATTGTCACCAAAATCTTACTCCTGCATATTGAAGCCTCCAACAAACACAAAACGCAAGCCTCATATAAAATCAACTTACACCTATAAAGCTAAGCACAAATCTGGATCCTTATGTTGCCCCATGATGAACATAAAACACAAAACGCAAGCCTCCAACTTTGCCGGCAGGCGACTCCAGACACCGGTTGCAGCGGTGTTTCCCACGTTGCTGTCCAGCAAGTCGCAACACCGCCGTTCGTTCTTCCACCGCGTTTCAAGTGCCTTTCATTCTTGGAAGCCTCCCACTCTCTGTTGGCGACGACCCTGGACGAAGGGCGCCTCTTCTTCCCCGACAACTACCACAGATACCCGTGAGGCACAACCTTAGAGAACATCCGCTCTTTGGCCGATGGTAGCCGGATCCAATCCTTCCTTCTCCAGTTAAAGCCCAGATGGCGGGTGAAGGGCTCTGCCCTTCCTTTTCTCTCGGTCGACGCTTTCAGACATCAACAGTCGGTTGACGAGCTGAGCATGTCTAATGACGAATGGGCCAAGGCTACACTCCAAAGACTGATTATCACCATCAATAACAGGCAACACTAAATTGCCACTATTATGGTGTCGGTTTTTCACAAATTAAAATGGGTCCGAGGAGTTTTGCCGGATACTATTCATTCCAGTCATCCCACAATTTCAGCTCATCAAAAGATAAGTACTCATCAATTTTCATATTAATTATATTTATTTAAATCATTTCTGTTTGTCGGATGAATGTCAAATGCCTAGTAGACTGTGGCTTGAGACCCATCACTAGGATTTAAAGCCCTGACACAGATAAGGCACAAAGCTCTGGCCCAGCTCAGACACAAAGCCCCGATCAAGTCGGGCATGAAGACCGATCTTAGTCATTCCAAGAGTGGCGACCGTTGCATACGAATGGCTCACACATCCCACTTTACTAAGTATTTTATCATTACATTAGCAATTCACATTTCCACTTTTTCAAGTGACGAACTCCCGATCAAAAACATAAACCCCAAGAAAAAATTTATATGCATGTTAAATGTATAGGTACGAAGATGACTTTACTCATTTTCACCTCGTCTCCACTCGCCTCAAGGGGTGAGGGACTGGGGGACTGAGGGGTCAGAGTTTCTAGATGAGCAGAAACATGGAATGTGCACCCAACCACGTGGTCAAACCCATGATGAAGTACTTGGGCTAGAGTCTAACTCGATATCTACCAGTTTTTTATTAAAATCCAATTTACAGTCTCTTGATCAACTGTTCAACCGGTGCTGAATCATCCTCAGGTATGAAGTGTCATCCTTTCCATTCAAATGGCCTATTTTTTATTTATTATTTGTGAAAGATATTTTGTGTTACTATGTTATTGGTGGTATTTGGTTAGGAGCCTATCAAACATTTTGAGATCATTTGACCACTTTTAATCCCAAACAATCAAAATAAAAAAAGCTAATAAACCTAGCGTTTAGGGTGTTGGCCGTTTCAATTTCTATCAAAAATTCATATTCTACCCACAAACAACCTCACTTCTCTTCGTCTTCCACACCTTACACACAAAAATAAGTCACAGAGCAAGCTTTCTTTTTCAACATCAGGTGCTTCTCCGACACCAAATTATTCAACTTTCTCTGTCAAGCTATTATTCTTCCTTCACATTAATACTACGTATTTGTTTGGATTTATCTATCGAAGGAAGAAGCTAATTTTAAACGAAATAAGAATGGGACTTGTGGGGTTTTGAGAAAGTTAAAAAGAGGTTGTAAACCACTTGTGTTTAACACATGCATTTAAAACGAATACGAATAAGATTTGGTTTCAAAATAATGTTGGAATGAATTGTTACTTGTGTCGATAAAATTTTATTTTTTTAAAATAAAAACGGAATAGGTAATTCTATTAATATTAGCAAGATGTGTGAAACATATACGGATTATAAAAGTAGCTAGTAAACAAAACAAATTAATGGATGTCATTAAAAATAACTAAACAAGTTATCAGTCGATTGTAATCAGTCGTTTAACCAAACGTTGTTTTATAAACAATTAATACTATCAACTAATCAAAAGTCAAAACACCTAACAGAATCCGTTGTTATCAATCAGCCAACAGTCAATTATAAAACACTCCATTGTCCTACCTTTTTTGTGTATATTAATATATATACCCACTTTGAATTTTGAAATGCTATTCGACATTTAGATTTCCAATAAATTAGTGCAACTAAAATGCAAAGACTAAAGTAGAAAAAATGACATCGACAGTTTTTGCAGATAATATAAGACTTATTATGTTTTTGGACAAAAAAATTATTGTTCATTATATACGAGTGAGTAACAGGACAAAAAGCACTTTAGTGTATTTCAGAGTGACAAGTCACCGGTGAATGACGAGTCACTTGGAACTAATCACTGAATATATCACTTTGTTGGAAAATTTAAAATAATAAATATTTTTTCATTTTAATATAGTAATATTAATGTAAAAAGGCCTAAAATGTACTCATCTGTATTTCTTTATACGGTAGTATTAAAATCTGTTATCAACTTATCATTTCCTTTAATTGCAAAGTTCTTTAGGCCCAAAATGTACAGCAGTCATATATGCAGTTATGTTTTTACCGGCCGTTTAACGACCACGCCCGCGGCAGATACAGTACTTTCCCCGAATCTGCAACCATGAGGGAGGACTTCATTACACCACTGCATTTCAGTTTTCACCCCTCTTCATCTCTTTTATCATTAGAAATAAAGCTGACCCCATCATATCCTGTCCGCCACTGTGATTCTCTCTCGTTCTCTTGAAAATCGAAAATTCCCGGACGCGGAACACGATGCAACGTTACGATTCTTCTTTTTCTCCCCAAAGTTAGGGTTTGAGTATCCAAGAATTCATCAGTCTCTTTGCCTTCTTGATTCATAGTGTTTTCTTTCCCACTTCCTCTCTCTCATCCTTCAATTTCACAGTTTCTGGGTGGATACTCCGTAGTTTATCCTAATACTTGCTTCCAAGAGAAAACTTTCATTTGCAACTTCTCGCCCTTTCTCCTCCAGTTTCCAGGTATCTCTATGTGTGTGAATTGTGCGCATACTCTTTCAGGATAATTGCTGGGACGAGAATTAATAGTTCGTGTTGTCACTTCTGCAGGAATCTTATTGATTTTGTGATTGAGGATTTGGAAAGCTTATATAGTACTACGGAGTAGAGAGGAATCCTTTGATTTTTTTTATGTATAATTAAACAGAACAAGGGGTTTGAGATTTGTTGTACACGGTTTTAATTGGTTGAATGCTTTGCCATTGTGTTTTGTTTTCTGAGATATTGGTTGTTCATTTCTTGTCTGTGGATTTGTTCTGTACTTTATGAAAGTATGGATTTTGACAATAAGTCGCCCTCCTCCAGTGGCCAGTTCAAGTGCTGCGAGTGTGACTGCAACTGTTCTTTGGTGAATGGGCCCTTCTCTGGTACCTGGTTACGTTCTGTGAAGCGAAAGCATGAAGAGTGTGATGATACCACACATAAAAACATCTTACCTGAGACAGCAAGGATTGGGATATGGGATGAATGTGTTGCCCTTCGTGAAATGGTCTGCAGCCAGCAGCTTAACATTCAAGCCTTGAGAATGGAGTTGGATGAGGAGAGGAGTGCTGCCTTCTCAGCAACCAACGAGGCAATGTCAATGATCTTGAAGCTGCAAAGAGAAAAGGCAGAGATTCAGATGGAATTTAGGCAATTTAAAAGATTTACTGAGGAGAAAATGGCACATGACCAGCAGGAGCTAGCTGCTCTGGAGAACCTGTTGTACTCCAGGGAGCAAGTAATCCATTCACTGGCATGTGAGGTTCAAAGGAATAAACAGAAGATTACCAGTTTTGAGTTCACAGAGCCAGAGGCTTATAATGACTGTAGTCATTTGTGTGGCATTGATACAAATAAACCCGAGATGTTCAGCAGTGATTTCGAATTCCCTCCCTCAAATTACCCTTCAGTAAAATGCTTCACTCAGAATCATACTGACTCTGACAATGAGGTTGTGGACATTGAGGAACAACTGTCTGTGAAGATCATCCCACCTTCACAAGATCAATTGCATGATCTGGAATCTCGGATCAACCAGTTGGAGAAGAGTTCAGGGACAAGTCATCCTCCTGATGGTGAGTTTTATGAGAAAGACATGATAGAAAAGGTGATGATGCGTACATTCCTTCCAACAAATGAAGCTATCGATGCTGAACTTGAAACAGTTGGTGCTGCAGAGGAACAAGAATGTTCAAACTTCAAGGAAGTTAATAATGACATTAATGAAGTTGAAGATGAAGATGAAGATGCAAGTGTCACGAGTGACCGAGTTTACACAATTGATTCCGTTCACCAAGGAGCAGCATGCGGTAGTGTAACAAATCCTAAAACATCTATAGAGATAGGTGATGGTTATACAACAAATCCAAGGGATTTATTGAACTATACACGTATGGAAAATTCTGATATAACGAAGTTGTATGTGAGGCTTCAAGCACTAGAGGCTGATAGGGAATCTATGAGGCAAACAATTATTTCAATGCAAACTGAGAAAGCTCAGCTGGTTCTGCTGAAGGAGATCGCGCAACAGTTTTACAAAGACATGTCACCAGCAAGGAGAGCACCTGTGAGAAGGTCATCTATGACCTGGAGCTTTTCAATCCTCTCAGTATTCAAGGTATTATAATGTATATATGTATATTGACACATAATAGTTTATTTTAAAAATTATTTTGCATCATAGTTATACTAACTTCATACTATGGTTTTGAAGATTAACAGAATCTAGAACCGTTTTAGAGTCTGTTAATGGCTTATTTTATCAGCCATTTCAATGATACTTATCAATAGGGGATAGTTGAAATTGCAACAAGATTTTCTTAATCCTTAGTTTAGATGCCCAAAGTTTATGTATACCTTCAGCCTACAACCAAAGACCCAACACCCTGTTTCCTGCATCAACTTCGTCAATCAAACTCTAGTCCTCTATTCTAAAAATCACTGTGTGTAGTTTCCATCCTTTCTGGTAGTTTCCCTTTGCTTGCCTAAGTTTATTTCAAATTGATCATGCCTACTAGGCTAGTACCTTCTATGATCTGGTTGACCCTCGCAGGCCACACGTAGCAATTTTTGGAACACTAAGGTCATCAATTGTTCTTTTTTGATATTTTTTGCCTCAACCATGGTAGTCGATAGCGCAATATGGCGCGCGCGCCATCCGCCATGTGGCGCGAAAAACCCTCTGCGCTATGAAAAGGGGTTGTGGCGAGGTGTATACACATGGCGTCACCATTCCTGCGCCTTCGCCATTTGGGCGCCATCGCCATGGCGTTTGCGTCGTCCAGTAGTCGTCTAGGCTCGATGTTGGTGAAGAAATCCTCGACTTATTCACAAGTCGAACCGCAGTGGCAGGCCCAGAACCAGATAAAATAGATTTAGGCCTTAATTAGGGCTAATTTAATTAAGGTTTCAGGCTTTAAATTAAAAGCTAAGCCCAAACTAATCTACCTTACGGACCATTCGTTGCCCAAAGTTGCACGTAGGAAGCAAACAACTAAGACGAACTCACATAGTCGCCCTCCCTCAGTCCCTCGCGGAATCAGAGCAGCAGAGGAACTTGCAGACTTCCCAGTTCCCAGGTCCTTCATCTCTGGCTTCAGTTTTTATTTTATTTTAAATTGTAATTAATTAAGTTGTGTATTTATAATTTTGTTGTTGTAACCTTGTTTTTGTGTGTGCGTTTTAACTGTGATACTTCTATTTTAAAATAACCTTCTATGATATACTTCACATTTTGTTTTGATTAGTTTTTTAATTTTAATTCTCATTAATAAACCTTGTTTTCAATTATTAATTGTGAGTTTCTTTTGCAATTTTTTTCATTAATTGTGAGTTTCAATACTAAGTTATATACAATATAGAATTATATATATAGTTATAAATATATAGCTATATATATAATTATATAAATATATAGTTTTATATATATACATATACATATATATATATATATATATATATATATAGACACACACACACACACACATAAACCCTAACAAAAAAAACACTAACAAAACCTTACTATTTTAGCTCATAATACTAACAACAACCCTAACTACAAATAAATAAACACAACTAACATAAACCCTAACTACTATTTTTGCAAGACAGAAACTTTTTTTTGAATATTATGTTTTTTGGAAGTACTTTGAACTATTTTATCATGTTTTGGTGGTTGGGTAAACTTGGGTTGATGAATTGCAGTATCTATTATTCGTTTTGAAGTTTTTTTTTTGTCACGTGGCGACGCCATATTTGCGCCATCGCCATCGCCATGGAAAATGGCCTGTGCGCCATGCGCCATGACAACTATGGCCTCAACATGGTCAAGCACTTGGATCCACTCCACTTGCTTAAATCACAAATAATCACAAATCAGTGTCGGCTCAATATATCTACTACAACTAGAGATGAGGATGTCATGTCCTCCACATAAATCAGCTTAGGTTGGGATATAAAAAGTCGACACGGGGTGAATGGCGGTTTAGGTTTGGATTTCAAAAAGACACCCGCAGGCCACAATGCCACTGGCATGTTCTACTTTATACTCTATTTATTATACTTCCTCCGTTCCCTTTTAATTCCAACAGTCAACATTTCACGTTTGCCAACACACAAGTTTGACCATTAATATCTTTCATTCCCTATTAGTAAAAAATTTAAAAGCTTCATATTTTGAAAATTTATAATGAGAATAATTTAACAATATTTTTTAAAAAATTAATTTATGATACATTAATTAATAAAATATAGTCAAAGTAGAATATGTGAATAGTGCAAAAAGTCCAATGTTGCAATTAAAAGAGAACGGAGGTAGTATGTATTTATATGTTATACTACGTATTAACTTATGTTTATGTTAGTGTCTCTGATATTACATTGTATACAGTATTAATTTGATAGAATGTGTAATTATATATTTACATAAATTTCTAAGATAATAAAGAATGTTTTTGCGAGACTACATTTCAATATTTTATTTCATTGAACCTAACATCCAGAAAGTACTCAGAAAGACTTAGTTGTTTACCATATGAATTATTACTATTGAGGTCAATACACAAGGTGGGATCCTACCCTGCTGTGGGTGGTGCTGGATGTTGAAAATTCCAACCCAATGTAGGGTGGGTAGTGCTTGGTTCCCTGATCCGAAGCCCTCTCATTCCCATCCCTAACTAAATGATACATGTAGCCATTTAACTGCCCTCTAATTTAACTGTTTTTATGTGTCCCCTAACTCAGACTTTCTCAAAAGCTAGTCCTAAATTGTAGAGAGTTAAAGATAAAGATGTATCATCTTTCAGAGGACCCTGAATGTACAATTTTACCTATATCTAGATGTGTGATTTCTGCAAGCGTAATGTTTTCTCTTGTTGGTTAGAGTGGGCTAGGAATGCTCAGAGCATGTTCTGGACTCCAGTAGGATTTTTAGATGATCCTTAGGAGGAATTTGGTTAGGTAATCTCATATTACCTTGCTAATGCGAGATTACCTTGTTTTGTCAGGTTTCCAGATTACCAAGGACCAAGGTAATCTGATCCTTATGATATGAATACCTAACCTTTTACATAGGACAATAATGTAATGTTGTGCGTAATCTGATAGCCCAGGGTTTCTTTGGGAAAAGTTAAAATAGTTTAATACATTACTGTAGGCAATCTTAAACAGTTGCAATGCATAACAATTAAGCGACACAAGTAATTACACATGTATTGAACTAAACACCGTAAGGTAATCTTTAGATTCCCATAATCTCACATTACTTTTGTGAAGGTAATCCTACTACATTATTACCTAAGGTAATCATAGGCTCCATGAACCAAGCACCCATTTTTATTAAGAATTGTGTGTGGAATTATTTAGAAAAAGTTATTATAAACCAATAGTTTGTTTCATCATCATTTCATCATTTTCATTTACCCCAGTGCCGCAAAGTCTGTACTAAACCAATAGTTTGTTTCCTTAAGGTAAAATGACAAAGTTTTTTACATAGGCAAGTTAAGAAATTTGGGAAACTTTATTGATGTGGAGGGAGTAAACTTTATGACTGTTGCACGTAATTCAGGTGTCATTTACTCTCTTCGTATCAAAATAAGTGTCCCAATAGGCTTTTCACGTAGTTTAAGATAATTTATAGGTTTATTGTACATTTAAAAAAAACAGGTGATTTTTGGTATCGTAGCAATACTGTTTAATTTATTGAAGTGTACCGTACTTGCTTTTGGGATGGATTTCTTTCCAAAAATGGAAGTGTGACATATATTTTGATACGGCTTAAAAGGAAAGTGTGACACTTATTTTGATACGGCCCAAAAAGGAAAGTGTGACACATATTTTTATAAGGCCCAAAAAGGAAAGTGTGACAATTATTTTGATACGGCCCAAAAAGGAAAGTGTGACACTTATTTTGATATGGAGGGAGTATCTTTTAGGAGTATTACTGTGCAGATAAGCTATCTGGCTTACAATCTGATTCGAATATTTCATTTTGCTGATATTTGTTCAATGTGTTGTATCCAGTGGATGATACCCTCTTTCTTCTGGAAACCAAGAGCACGCCGATGCAAGTGGGTAGCTCCTTCATCATTCTCAATTTTATTTATGGAATTTTGCTGCAGTTACATACACTGCATGACTCTCTTAGATAAGAGAGTGCCTTTAACGGAAGCTTTTTGTGTAGTTTATGTTCTGAGCATAGGTTATTCCTTTACTGCATGCCTATCATGACATGGGGCTACGGCCTTGTAAAGTGCAGCCCGTTCCCCTTTAACTTTGAAAATCTATTCTGCATGATATGATCACACCAAAGTTCTGCCATAATACGTGATTCCTTGACGAAGTTACTATTTGTTTAGGTGTTCCGCTTAAAAGATTAAAATATTGATTCCTGTGAAAATACTATTTGTTCTTGAACTATTTGTGATGTCTACTTGTCTCTATCTTTTAGGTATATGTTTGGAATGTCAGGTAGCTATCCAGGATTGCTAATACTTTTGTACAAGGGGCCTCGTGTAGGGCAGTGGAGATGTATTACAAGCACACAAGTCTAAATCCAGTTGTACACTTGATGAATCTCGCAACTGTCTTAGTCTGTTAAGGGGCTTGTTTTTGTAATTCGGAATTGCCAGGGACCATTTGGTAATGTGATCCAAGTTTGGGGGAAATAGATGTACTCCAAGGTCCCTTATTTGTAAGTCCATTTTTGTATATTGCAAGTAGTAAAGTTAGGGAAACAATTTGTATACATTCATAGGTAATGTAGTATACCAGTCTCATTCTTAGCTGTTAGAGTATCGTACAATAGACATAATGGTTGTTTGTTTTTACATGCTTGTTATGTGCAAATGATGTTATGATGATCACACGATGGTACATGCAGTTGTTTTAAACATTCATTATTACTAATTAATGATTAATGATTACAAATGAAATATGCGACAGAAATATTTTTAGTGTTAGTATACAAAACTTTTTTTTTTATTTGGGGTCCGAAATGAAGTAATACTAGCTAGTAGTTGTTATTGAGTGATAATAAAAAGAAATATTGCGTAAGTAGTGCAATTGTGCAAACCAACCAACAATATCTTGACCTAGAATCTCACATTGTATTACTGGGTACGAAGTATTATATAGTTGGGTTTCAAAAGAGTAAATAAGCAACTTATGAATAGGAAACGTTGACTTAAAGTTGAAATTATATGGGCCTTTAATTTCATTCAAGGGAAAGTCAAAATAAAATGTTTTAGAACGAAAAAATCGAAGTAGCTCCAAAACTTTTAGCAATTGATGAGGAAGTAATTATGATAGGTAGAAAAGTTTTAAGATCTTTATCCTGATTCCTATTTTCGACTCGTGTATAAACCATCATCATCAATGACTTTGTTGCAATCAATTTTTATCAAAGGGTGAACTTGAATATAATAGTCATAAATGATGCCGATTATTATGTACATATAAACGAAAAAAAAGTAAAGGGCTAGTACTAATCATTGCCCCTAGAAAGGTAAGTTATGAGAGATACAAAAGAACTCTAGTATCGTCAAACTAAAGCCTATTGGCTAAGTCCATCCATAAGACCATAACCATGGTCTCGCTCATGCTTAAATAGTGTCGTAGTATACAAAAAAAAAAGATTAATTTCTTTGTAAACATAATACTACTATTACAATATACTCCCTCCGGTCCTTAATGAAGTTTACACTTTGACTTCACGTATATTAAAGAAATAAATTTGACTTTACTATAGAGTACACTGTTTGACACTGTTTTGCACTGTTTGGTGTAGATTTATTTGCCAAATAAGGCAAATAAGGAAGTGTAAAGTTTAATATGGGACGAACTAAAAAGAAAAGTGTATTGTACGATACTCTAACAGTGTTTACTAGTTTACTATGCATTATATTGCTAAGGAATAATTTACTAGTTTTTATATTTTAACATTTGATCACTTATAAAAAACACATTTGTTTTTTAACAATTATGCTCCTCGGAAGTATATGAGAATGTTACTAAACCACACATACTAGCTATATCTTATAAATAAATAGATCAGACCTTGAGAGTTGAGAGGGATATAACAAGATCACATGAATTCAAATAAATATGAGTGGTCAAAGTTTTCTAATTTTGAGCACACGAATAAGTGATGAGCTAATTAAGTGAGAAAGGAGATACAGTTTTTCTCCCTTAGCAATATAATGCATCGATGATTAGAGTTATAGCAATATATAGCATGCAATCCATCACCATACAAAATTATTCCTTTTCCACTTGAGTCATCTCCTTCCTATGGATTATATTCTTGAGTAATAAATTCAGCTTTTAATTATTTATTTTTGCATCCATCTTGGTTCTAATGTTTATTGTTTTCGAAAACTTATTCATTTTTATAGAGAATGATTTTTGAAATTTTTTTTTCACTGATTATTTTACTTGCACGGATCAAAGTGCTTATTACGATATGATGCATATAAAATGGTGCATCATTGTTGTTATAGTGTTTATGTTAATTTGTTTTGCGCTGGACAATTACATAAATATTTAATTGTTGGTTACGTTGTTGATTTCAATGCAATCATATTTATTACCTCTTGCACTTTTACATATTATTATTGCATAACCGTAAGTGTTGGTTAACATAGTTTTTTAGACTTGTAGATTTGCACTCACAATTAGTGCACTTACGTTATTGTTATGTGATGCGTCCATTTTAAGTGTTTAATATGGACTTCTAATAAGATAATAACAATGAACTTTATGTTAAACTTTTGATGCACTTAGCATATTTCGTTAATGCACTTTTTACTAGTTTTTATATTTTAATATTTTTTGAAGATACAAGTGATACCAAGATACACTATCATAATTGAAAATTTGATTCTTTTGAAAGAATAATGCATTCCATTATGTAAAAATGCCAATGTAAATTTTAGAAAAAGTGTGATATAATACAACACGTTTATCCTTTAAAAAACAAATAGTGCACTTTTATATATTTACAACGCACATGGTAGAAGTGCATTGCTTTGATAAAGAAGTGTTAATGTAGAACATTAGAAAATGTGATATAATAATGCACTTTATATATATTTTAAATGCATGTTATAGTTGATAGTCTACACCTTTGTATATTTATGTTCATATTTATTTAAGAAATATATGGATGTGCAAAACAAAATGTATAAAATGTAAGTCAATATTCTACAAAATTCAAACTAAATATATCGAAGTGCAGTTTAAAGTGCACAATAACATAGTAAAAATGTCAATTGTCTTTAAATATTCAAAAATGTGTAAATATTTAATTAATTTGATGTTGCATAATATTTTGAAAAAAAGTGCAAGTATTCAATGTTCTAGTGCAAATACATAGAATTAGGTTGATGAAGTATTTTATCTACTCAAGAAAGCAGTCAAACATGAAAAAGTGCACAATTCGAATAATGATTTTTACATCAAATTAATTATCCAAATTATATGTGAAATAATAGGAAATTTGAAAAGAAAATCAAGTAAGAGAAAGCATATTTCCGTATCACTAAGGGAAATTAAGTAAGAGAAAACACAGGGAGTTCATGTTTGTTGATAATTAGCCTAATTCTTAGGAAGTTTTCCTATTTTAGTGTTGGACTACCGTCACATGCTTCCAACTACTTGAATGAGTTTTACCATGATGCCCCTAAATTTATTTTGAGTTGAACGGTTGCCTTAATTACAATCTCAATGATCCGAAAATCTAGTTAAACATCCGCTACTTTGAAAAATGCTAGACCATTGGATCTAAATATTGAGAGGTTTGATTTCATTCTCATTTCTCTTCTAAGAGACCATTCTCACCGGAACCCTCCCCTATATATATATATGTATGTATGTATGTATGTATGTATGTATGTATGTATGTATGTATGTATGTATGTATGTATGTATGTATGTATGTATGTATGTATGTATGTATGTATGTATGTATGTATGTATGTATGTATGTATGTATGTATGTATAAACATGCCCCATGCAGGGTGATTTCTCTAAATACGGGAATAGGTAACGGGAGGTGCCAAATTACGGGGATAAAACTAGGGTTTCCAAAAATACGGGAGTCGGATTGCCCTCTTCCGACTAGGGGAAGGGTTTGAAAAATTTTAATTGACTTCTTCTGTCAGATTACCCTATTCGACTGGGGCATTTTAAAAATTAAAAAAAAAAATCTCTTGTTGGAAGAGCCAATTCCGACTGGGGCATTTTAAAAATTAAAAATTATACTTTGGGACAAACGGAAAAAGAAAGTTGGTCCAATGAGACGGAGAGAGTAAATTTTACTGACTTGTAAAATTATGAATAGTTGGGAGTTGGTATATACTCCCTCCGTCCCGTTGGAATGTTCCCGGTTTGACCTACACACATATTAAGGAAATAAACTTATCAGGGGTAAATTTTACTGTTTTGACACTGTTTCGACACTGTTTGACACTGTTTGACACTGTTTGACACTGTTTTGCACTGTTTGACCCTGTTTTGATGTAGGATAACTTTCCATTTAGGGAAATGAGAACATTCCAACGGGGCATCCAAAAAAGGAAAGCGGGAACAATCCAACGGGACGGAGGGAGTATCATTATTTTCAAAAATGAATGGTTGAGAAGGAGACTTAATTATTACTCCATCCGTCCCACTAGAAGGTTAACGTTTACGGTATACAATGCTTGATTAACGATAAAACAACTTAATCCCTGTTCACACTCTGATTATTTTTAATAAATAAAATTAACATATTCAAAAACTATAGTAAAACCGCTACAAAGCCTGATAAAACAAATGTAAATTTGATGAAAAAAAATGTAAATTGATAAAAAAATGATAAAAAATTACCCATACAAATTTGGCAGGCCACATTTCTTTCCTTTTAAGCAGTCGGAATTGGCAATTCCGAGTAGAAGCGTTCAATAATTAATATGGCTTGGCCGAAAGTTTATCCAAATGTTTAAAAATTTATCCAACTTTTAAATTTAAAACTTTATCCAATTTTTTTTAAAGTTTATTTGGAAAAAAAATAACTCCGGTCGGATTTAAGAGTTCTGACTGCAGGAATTTGATCTGTTATATTTGATTTTATTTTATCTGTTATATTTTATTTCATTATATTTTATCTATTATATTTTATCTAATTAGTTTTATCTGATTATATTTATTTTGATACAATTTTATCTGATTATATTTTATCTCATTAATTTTATCTAATTATATTAAGTAAATAATTGTCAATTTTACAACTCGTGTTCATCATATAGGCTGATTACATTTCAAATGATTGTATTTCTATTGGGTCGAATAGGGGTATTTATGATCCGGGTCTAAAAATGTGAATCACAAGTGTGAATATTAAAATTTCATCTTAATATTAAGTAACTCGTGGTCAATTTCACAATCATGTTCATAATATATGCTAATTGCATTTCAGAAGATTGTATCCTTACTGGGTCGAATTGGGGTTTTTATGATCCAGGTCAAAAAAGGGTGAATCACAAGTGTTAATATTAAATTGTCATCTACGTAGTATATATTAAGGAACTCGTGATCAATTTCACAACTCGTGTTCATGATATAGGTTGATTGCATAAAATTCGAATGATTGTGCCCTTATTGGGTCAAATTGGAGGTTTATGATCCGGGTCTAAAAAATGTGAATCACAAGTATGGATATTAAAATTCCATCTATATATTAAGTAAATCATTGTCAATTTTACAACTCGTGTTTATGATATAGGCTGATTACATTTCAAATGATTGTATCCCTACTGGGTCGAATAAGGGTTTTTATGATCCGGGTCTAAAAAATGTGAATACGGAGTATTAAAATTTCATCTATATACTTCGTATTAAGTAACTCGTGGTCAATTTCACAATTCGTGTTCATGATATATGCTAATTGCATTTCAGAAGATTGTATCCTTACCAGGTCGAATTGGGGTTTTTATGATCCGGATCTAAAAAATGTGAATCACAAGTGTTAATATTAAATTGTCATCTCTATATTAAAGAACTCATGGTCAAGGTGGTGTCTACTTCCTCGTCACTATCATTGCTCGTGGATGAATCGGCGTCACTACTAAAACCTTGTTCATAGTCTGGGTCATCCGACTCTTCACCCAAGTTTAATTTGTGACTGTACAAAGTAGATACATTCATAAATTTCAATATTATTATCTACTAAAAAAATAAATAACATATTATTTGAAGGTTATAAAATGTACCATGAATATGTTATGAACTTAGTTTATTTTTGAATCCATATGACTTAATGGGTCAAATTTCAACTTAATCAACGTGAAAGTCAACTTTGACCAACCTTTTCGGGACGGAGGGAATACTAAAATAACTACTTCTAAATTTCTAATTTCAAAATTTAACTCAAATTATTAATTTAAACACAAATTTTGAACACAATTTTTGTAAAAGTCTAAATTTAACTAATTTCTAGAATTGAACACAATTTTTTATAAAATTTCTAAAAATATCCCCTTGTCGGATTTGTTAGTTCCGACTGGAACTAAAATTTTTATAATTGATGCTAGTTCTTTTTTATTTTTAGAACCATAAAATATCTGGAACAATTTTTAATATTTTAGAAACAATAAAATTTTTGGAACACCTCCTCCTGTCGGATCAACCAATTCCGACAAGGGTTTTAAGACACTCACACTAAAGAAAAGACCGAAAAGGAATGTCAGTGAAAAAATACTAATCCATTTTTTTTACGAAAAGGAATGTCAGTGAAAATATACTAACCCGCACAGGTAGCTCAGTTGGTTCAGTGGTGGGAAATTTGGACCAAGTGACCAAGGTTTGAAACCCGCAGCGGCCGTGTGGAGGTCACAGAACCTGAAATAAGGTTGGACCTCTGGTGCGCACGGGAAAAAAGGCCTACCATCAATGGGCCGACTGAGTCACCGTGATTAACATCCTCCCAAAAATCCTGTCGGGTCGGGGTATGGGGGGCTCCTGGGGTGGGAGATTCCACCTTTTGGACCAAGTGAAAAAATACTAATCCATTTTTTTTACGAAAAGCAATGTCAGTATTCCTATTCTTATTTAATCATATAATCATGCCAACTCATACTCCGTGTAATTTAAAAAAAAAATGGTTCCCGTAGTCGGATTTGTCAATTCCGACAGGAGGGGTGCACGAAAATATGACCTAGCCTCTTGTCGGAACACCGACTCCCCTAATTTGGTAACCTAATTACATTTCCCGTATTTTGGCGTCTCAGACCAAAAGTTCCCGCATTTCTGTAATTTCCTCCCCCATGCAATCTCTGATCTTCTTAATTAATTACCGAGTCCGGTGATCTTGTCAAGGCAATCATTGGTGACGCCATCAATCCAAGTGGTAAACTTCTTGAACTCAGGGTCATCCTTACTATAAACATGCCCCATGCAATCCTTACACGTGTCAACGTCGGTAGACATGGCACTGACGTCAACGTTCGCCTTGTAAAGGTTTCCGTCCTTCGTATCCTTCACCGTCTTCTTCATGGCATTCATGGAATCTTGATACACATCCTTGCATGTCTTTAGGCACTCCTTTCTCTGTTCATCGGTGTCGGGGTCATTCAGCCGCTTCTCGAGGACGTCGTGGATGAAGTCCTCCGTCTTCGACATAGATTTCACCATCGCCGATTGGACGAACATGTTCACCGCGGGGGTGTCTTTCACTACTGGCACGCTGGAGAAAGGTGGTGCGCCCTTGTCGGTGATGGTTGGAGCGTCGTTCCAACCATCTCCTAAAGGGCTCTCAGAGAGGGCATCTCCACGACCGCCATCGCTAAAAGGTGCCTCAGATGTGGTACCTTGAGAAGGGGGCTTTGCGATGGTGCCCGAAGAAGAGAGGGAAAGGGTGGGGCTCATTGCAATTGCATGGTTTCCCAAGAATGTAATTGAGAGTAACAAATAAGTTGAAATGAGAAAAAATGTTTGGTATGAAGGGATCGCCATTGTTGATTATTGTCTAGTTAATTACTACTCGTTTTCCTATATGATGTATAGGAAATTAAACCAAATTAAAATGGTTATTGCTACAACATAAACACGTAATAATGGAATTGTATTACAGAGTGAAAACGTTATTATTTTGAAAAGAAATACAAATTCGGCAAAGATTCATATGAGGAAATTGAAGGACTTTATTAGTCGTACATATAGGTGGCACCGGGCTAAGAATTGTTGGTCGGACTTGTTTATTGGAACATGAATTTGTTTTTAGCGCCTTGTCAACGCTTTTTCTCATTAACCACTAGAACATGGATGGTTTGTGTGGAAGGGTATACTCATCAGTCATCACCCATCTTCGGGATTCAAAAAGTATATAAAATTGTAATACTACTTGTATTCAATTAGTTTTAATGAATAATATAATTATAACAAATTTGCTTAAATAGGAGTAAAAATATAACTATTATATTTTTCTGAATAGGAGTTATAACTATCATGTTTGGAAAATCTTGTTAATTATCACACTATTATTGTAATATTGTCATATCAATTCTGGTAATGTCAAATGGTGACACTTTGATTTCAGGAATGGAGTAATTTACTCCTATATATTTAGTGGGGTGAATTTAGTACATATGTATTGAAAATTTTCACTGTTTTTACTATCAAGGTCCTATGGGTCACACACAAGTGATTATACCTTCCGATAGAATTGTTAGAAGGAATTAAATATTAATTGGATTAAATAATATTTAATTCGTAATACAGAAAATGGATTAAATATTAGTTAGATTAACTATATTTAATTCGTGATGTTGAAGAAGAGTTCTATTTGATAGATTTAATTAAGTGTGATAAATTAGATTTATTATACTTAATTAAGATGTATTCTTAATTAAATAAAGTTGATACTTTTTCTTGTGATTGGGAAACTAGTTTAGAACTAGTATACATACATCCTCCTCCTTCATAATTAAGGACCAGTTTTCAGATTCAGTATTACCAGTTTATTTCCCTGCGAAGAGATTTCCTAGCCTTTCTCTTAGGGAGATCTAACCGTTCTTTCGGAAAGGAGAAATCACGTGGATACCAAAGGTCAAGGATTATCACCGCTAGGCTGGAAGATTTTTAAGTTCTAACTCAGATCTGTTATTATTATCATATTCGTTATTTTGTCATAATCAGGGAAGATCTGTTTGGGAAAATTTTAAACTTCCGCTGCCGTACTTTCGAGGTACGTTACATCAATTTCCTAACAGTGGTAGGAGAGCCAAACTGGTTTTAATGACATAATACGAATTTTATAGATATATTCGTGGATCAAAACACATAATTTTTAGATTATGTTTTCGATCTAATTCTAATTTTCGAAATCAATTAAATCTGGTTGATTATAAGAAAACGTTCATCGATGTTCTCTCCACTTTCTGTTTACGGACTTGTTCCTTGTCTCTGGAATTATCTTTGTCTCTTACTATCTGCTGGAATATCTCTCTCGACCTCCATTAATGGTGGTTCGAGCTTTGAAACACTGAAACCGAGGGATAGTTGCAAGGCGTCGATCAGCAAGGTTAGCCACTGAAGAAGTTTCTCACGACGCTGATTGGAAAAGTGAAATGGCTGCAACGAGCTCTACTGCGACCTTCGGTAGGAGCCGATTCCGGCAAATTTCAAACAGACGCCAGACATCTAGAACTTTTCATTGGATTTGGAACTTAGAAATTAGATTAAACTAAGGGCCTTATTTGCAAAATTGTAGAATTTTACAAATCCTAATAAGGTCACTCGACCTGACCAACAATATGGAGGATTTTCTTTTTGGTATGGACTTTATTGGAGTCTATATTAATACTATATACTCTGTACTACGGTTTTTTCCCCTCGAAAAGCACCAAAAATGGCGTGGTAAATGTCGGGTCCATTTACCGATTTTATTAGATTAAATGCCACCAAGTGTACAAAAACAAGAGTGGTGGGATGGAATGGTCCAGTCCCCTACAAAAAGCCAATCCTGGATTACAAAAGAGCTTGGCCCGAGATGGACAGCCCAATAGAAAAGGTGGCAGCGTCGGTCCAAATGTTGGGAATATTTCCCTGCGCAATACATAATCGGCCAAAAGGACTGTCGGCTTACCCTAGTTCGAGATCCTTCCTTTTGATATGTTAGAGAGAGACTGTGGGAGCCTCCCCCGGTACCGAGCCTACCCGGCGTCTCTGAAGAATCCGACCCCATATTTGTCGTTGAAGAAGGCTCGCAAGGCTTTGGATGGAAGAAGATCCTGAGTGTACTGGATTGTAGAAGCGGTATTGAGGCTAGATTGAGCAATGAAGTGGGCGACGACGTTCGTCTGACGCGGGCGATGGAGAACGGTTGCCTGAGAGTTAATTATCATCGCGCGCAATCTTTTGATTGGCTCCTTCAGGTAATTCGGAACTTTAAATTTACCTTCTGTCATTTGAATGCAAACCGTAGAATCATTTTGGACCTGGAAAGTTTTATAACCCTTGTCTTTGATGATGTGAGCCCAGGCATCCATTGCTAGGATCTCTGCATGAAGTGGGTTATAGGCCTGTATTGGGAAGCCAAAAGCCTGAAGCAGATCACCGGTAGAGTTCCGAAGAATTGCGCCTCCCGCCCCTAAGCCATTCTTGAATGCCGCATCTGTGTTGGGAATGAGGTTAGCCGGTGAGTCTGTTAACCACCTGATCTGTATCTTGAGTTTTTCTTTGTGTTTGATGTATGACATGAGACCGTCTGCGTGTAGTTCAACATCAAAATTGTAAAAATTTTTGTGTATGTTGGAGTAGCACCAGTATCGTGTATAGCTTTTGATTTCTGAAATGATGTTGAGCCTTGAAAATGGTTTATCATCCCATATGCATGAGTTGTATGCTTTCAAAATGTGCCACATGATTATTCCTGTAATTGCTTGACGTAATGTGCTTTTGATATTGTTTGATTTCCTCCCCATCCACCAGATAAACAATGTTTGTTTTAGTTCCTCTTGATGTGCATTCCTGACCTGCAAAATACAAGAAAATAACCTCCAAATGGGTTTAATTAGTGGGCAGCTGAAGAGGGCGTGGTTTTGAATGTCTAGGTTGTTGAGACAGAAAGGGCATCTTGTAACAAGGTTTAATTGGAAACGGGAGAGGTTATCTGGGAATGGTAGGGATCCTGTCAAAACTTTCCAAATGAAAATTTTAATTTTCAGTTGTGTACGTAGGAGCATTCCAGTTTTGGGAGAGGGAATAAGTGGTAGGGAATTTGCTTCTGGCGTGATGGTATGCACGGTTGATTGAGAAATGGCCATTTTTTTCAAGTGACCACCATGGTATGTCGTTGACTGAAAGTATGAGGGACGGTAAAGTTAAGATGTCTTGCATAGTTGCTTCCAAGTAGGGGAGTCATAAGGTTTTGAAGTCATTGTACCTTGTCTAACGTATCTGAAGGACACAAACTTAGCCCAGATGGACTGTTGTTGCATGTAATTCCACCAAATTTTCATTTGAAAGGCTTCTTGGATGTGGGTGAGTGACCTGATGTTGAGACCTCCCTCTTTTCCTTGTCTCCATATGTGTGTCCAACTTTTCCAGTGATATTTGTTCTTATCACCTGATGATCCCCAAAAAAATTACTCATGAGTCTGTTAAGACTTAAAATAATTTTTCTTGGGAATCTGGTGACTGCCAGGTGGTGAATTGGGATGGAGTTGAGCATGTGCTTGATTAAAATTAGTCTCCATGATTGATTTAACTGTTTCTTTTTCCAGGACTGCAGTTTATTTTCAAAGGACCTGAGGATATTGGTGCAATGTGCTGGTCTTGTAATTCCTTGGTGAAGGACAGTCCCCATATAGGTCATCGGGAGGTTAGTTACGCTCATTTGGGTGTCTTTGTTTAGTCCCCTTTTCCTACCCGGGTTCATTTTCCTGCTGACTAACACCGTGATTTTGTTGTAGTTGATAAGCTGTCCTGAAGCACTGGTGAACATATTGAGGAACTTTTGGATGTTCCGGACTGAGGAGGCTGTCCCATTGAGAAAGAGTATCAGATCATCTACGTACCCGAGCTGGGAAACCGGGCTTGGATGGTTGCCAATTAGATAGGGTTTAATTAAATTGTTTTCGTATTGGCTTTATAATGCTCTTATGAAGCTCTCTGTAGCTATTAGGAACAGGCAGGGGGAGAGAGGGGGCCCCTGTTTGACCCCCCTTTGTGGCTTGAAAAAGCCCTGCACTAGCCCGTTTACCAGAATGGAGATGTGCATGGAGGCCATGTTGGACATGATTATATGGCAGAACTTCCTGTCAAAGCCCAACCTTAAAAGGGATGCCTGCAAAAACCCCAAGAGAACCTGTCAAAAGCTTGAGATAAATCAAGCTTGACCACGATATTCCCGCCCCTGACCGGTTTGTCAAGGTGGTGGAGGATCTCATTTGCTAGCAAAATGTGGTGATGGATGTCTTCCCCTTCCATAAAACCAATTTGTACCTTTGAGTTTTTCATCCAAAAAAAAAAATTGTACCTTTGAGATTATCTTTGGTAGAAAGGCTTTTAGGCGTGTAGTGATAATCTTTGAGCAAACCTTGTTAGTGAAGTTGGTCAGGCTGATTGGACGAAAGTGTCTGAACCATTTGGGATTAGGTATTTTAGGAATCAACACAATTAGTGAACATGATAGGGCAGTAGGCATAGGTAGTCCCAGGAAAAACTCCTGGATTGCAGTAGTCATATCTTTCTGGATTATGTTCCAGCAGGTTCGGTAGAAGTGCCCATAAAAACCGTCTGGGCCAGGGCTACTGTCTCGGTTCAGGGCCCAAACCGTGTCTTTGATTTCCTGTGGTGTTGGTAGTGTTGTTAAGAATAAGTTTTCCTCTTGCGTAACACAAGGATGCAAGTGTTGTAGCAGATCATCCATATTCGGTGTTCCTGCTGTGTCACTGTAAAGATCAGTGAAGTGAGCTACCGCCGCATCAGCGATGGCTGTTTGGTTGGTAAATTGCTCCCCACTGTCGTTCTCTATATACCTTATAGAGGATTTCCCTCGTTTTTGTCGGACGTAGTTGTGAAAGAATTTGGTGTTGGCCTCCCCTTCGCTCAACCACTTTATTTTCGCCCTTTGTTTCCAAAACTGTTCTTCCTGCTTTAGTTTTAGGAGTATTTCCGTCTGTG